ATTCTGGTTCTGGTTCCCCGGGAAGAGCCACTGAGTGGCTAGGTAGGTCGCGGATAGACCTCTGTTTTTGTGTGCCAGTGTAAAAGTGAAGGTCGCAAGACAGGTGTGAGTGAGGGTCACAGGAAGACGCCCCGAGACCCCTGCGAAGCCCTGAGGGGCTCGTGACCAGGGATATCTCGAACGGAAGCCCTGCGGCCCCTTTAGTGGGTCATAAGGACCCTGACCAGGATATGGACCTTCTGCATGGCATGACCGGCGAAGGGCCTATCCAGGCCTAGGAGTATGCATGTCCCCATCCCTTACCATCTGTAAACGGTCTGGTTTCCTCACCCTCTTTCCTTCTGGTTCCCCTCCTCTGCCGGTAAAAGGCAGTCTGTAGGGCCACTGACTGGTCCAAACGCCCCACCAGAAGCAACAGAGTAAGCAGCGCTGTTCTCTTTGAGACTAGCCGACGCTCTTTGCTGGACGGGGGTGTAGGCAGTCGTGGACGCTCCTAAACAAACCTTTCCTGCGTGAAAGACCTGAGTGAATGTGCCGGGTCCTGGGGAGGGTGGGCTCAAAGGGAGCGCCATCACGTCAGGAAAGTCAGGATACTGGAGGGCCGAAGGATCCAAATTGATCTTCGTCTCACCGGGAAAGCTGTAAACAAGGGGGGCGGTGTGGGATCACTGTCTCGCCAATAGGGGTTCTGGTTCAGTTTGTTTCTGTCTGTCTGTATCTGTTTGTGTGTATATATTGTCTGTGAGTTATGGGGGCCGGTGGATCGAAGGGAATTACCATCCCTCCAAAAGGCACACCAGCGTTTTATACGTATAAAAATTATAGTCTTTCTACTTGCAAGTTTTTGGAAAAAATGGAATTGGTATACCAGGGATGATTTAAAATTATGGTCTCCCCTAGAGGGAAAGTTTTGATCTTGACAAGATCGTACACCTCAGAGGCGCACTTCTGGCCAAAGTTTGATGCATATTTTGATTGGTATGGAGAAACAGAAAAACATTGCAGTGAATCTCAAAGGAGGAGTCTCAAGGACTCCCAGGGGAAACTTAAAACACAATTAAAGTAGACAAAGGAGAAATTGAGTTTTTTACAAGCCCCTGCTGGCCAGCAGATATCTCTCTACCCTTTAAGTCATCGCTCAGCTTATTCCCTTGAATCAGGCTGGGCCATATGTAATCTGTATTATTGATGGCAAGCCCACCACTTGTCTGCTAGATACTGGCGCATCGCGATCTATTCTTCGTGCCAGTGACTTCCATTCTCTCCCTTTTTATTCTGAGATAGTAAATGCAGTAGGGGTGGGAAATAATCCTATTCCCCACCCCATCTCTTCACCTCTGACCGTTTTTTTTTTTTTGGTCCTCTGTCCTTGTTTGCCGGTTACCTTTTGGGAAGAGACTGCTATGTAAATTAAATTGTACATTGACGCTCCAAAGGAGGAGACCGACCCCAGCCCTTCCTCGTTGCAACAGGAACTGCTGGCTAAGGTCTCTCCCTGTGAACCTTGTGAGCCAACCATGCCAACCAGGTCAGGTGCATTGGGTCTGCCCAACCTGTTAAGATTCGCCTAAATCCAGCAAGACCCCTTCCCAAGGTGTAGCAGTATCCTCTATCAAAACAGGCCAAGGAAAAATCCAATCTGTTGTTATCTCCTGCATTCAGCAAGGAGTCATTATTCCTATGGTCAGTGAGTGTAACTCCCCCATTTTATAGTGCTGTTAATGCGGCTGTTTTCCCTATTTTTCCTGTTGTCCCTAACCCTGCTATTATCCTTTCCTATAATGTACCAATGCTGAGGGGTTGTTACCGCCTCAAGAAAAGATTGTATTATGTCTGGACATAGAGAAAAGGTTATTATTAAATAAGATGCATCTAGATGTAATGTGTGTATGTAAATAGATAAAAGGGGGGTTAGCCTAAAAGCCCACCCTCCTTGCTAAATTGGTAGTGAAACAATGCCTGTGCCCATGGAAAGAAATAATGCAGCAAAGAAAAAAGGATCGGGCCCAAACAAGCAGGCAACCGCAGTTTGAGGAAGTTGAAAGAAAGAAAGTGAGAAGTTAACTCTGTAGTTATTGGAGGGAATTAAGCAGTGAAACTATGTATAAATGTTAAAAGAAAAAATCTTGGTTTCTTTGCAGCCATTCCTTTGGGAATGTCTGTAGATAATCCAGGCAAGAGGTTATTTAAGTGAAATCATTTGACTATGAAAAAGTTAGTCAAATTTGCTAAAGAACACTCCTGGTGTGTATAATCTTTGTTTTATAAGCCTGGATTCCCTTACCAGCCACTGGGAAGTGGCACAGGATTGTTGGAAACACCAGCTGGTCCAGAGGGACTTTGTTACCCTCAATAGTCCTCCCCTTCCAGTGTATGTCTACACTGCAGTTAGACACCCGCAGCTGGCCTGTGCCAGCTGGCTCAGGCTCATGGGGGTTGGGCTGTGGGGTTGTTTAATTGTAGTGTAGGTGTTTGGGCTCAGGCTGCAGCCTTAGCTCTGGGGCCCTACCATCTCGCAGGGTTCTAGAGCCTGGGCTCCAGCCCAAGCCCGAAGATCTACAGGGCCAGCCGCGGGTTTGTAATTACTGTGTAGACATACCCATAGTGGCCTGGCCAGAGGGCTGAGTCAGGAAGAGGGAGCATTCCGAGTTGCGGGGGAGGGGGAGTCACAGCATGAATAACCGACAGAAGGGGGAGGCCAGAGTGGGTAAAAGATGATCTCCAAATGTAGCCATAAGGAGGTGCTACCTGTGGTGAGTGTACTCCTTCACACTTGCCATGAATGATTAGACCTTCTACCTGATCCTGCACTCAATGTAGTCAATTATAAAACTGTATCACCATCCACTTCAATGGGCACAAGATGGAGAGCCTCTGTTGTTGACTCTCTTTTTTTTGGCTGTGATTTTTTTTGGTTTGTTTATTCCATTGTCATCTGATGGAAATGGGGATAGTAAATGTCTTTTAACTGCGTAATCCTACAGTCGTTTCTAAGGGAAAACACCCTGAAGTGTTTTGCCTGACTAAAGGCTGTAGAATAGTTGTCTGTATCTCTAATTGTCTTTAGCTGAACTAACAGCAAAATTATTTCTCATGTTAGACCTTGCTGTCAAAATAGGAAATCCTCACTCCAGCTTTTCTTTAGTTAGCATTGGCACGAAAGGCCTGACCATGTTCGCCTGAGGGTCATATAGATAAAAAAATCCAACTTTTTGCTAATATTTTTAATTGGATAATATTGCTCATATCACTCATTTGAATTTTATACATACACTATTCAAATACTGTTTATATTTAACATCTATTACATGTATACTTTATATGTTTGGGCGGAATAGCTACCCATAACTAATACTATTGGAAAAGAGACACAAAGAAGACTTGTAAATGAACAATTTAAACACATGCATATGGAGATTGAATATTAATAACAGGTTTTCACCAGATTAGGAGTCAAATCCTAGTCAGTTGATTCTCATGGCTAGGACAATCAATGTCAATCTGAATAAACAAGACAGGAAAATCCTAATCCCAGTACAGAGAAGGCCCAGATTTATGTAATTTTCACTCTCTTCCAGTTGCATAGCATGTAAATTACACCAGTTTAGCCACCTTGAGGTTTCTCTGACATAACTTGTATCTCCTTATACACCACCTCAGAATTTGACTCAATTCAGCAAAGGACTTGAGCACTCGTGTAACTTTAAGTAGGCAACTAGTATTATGGAAGTCACTGGGACTACTGATATGCTTAAAGTTAAGCTTATGCTTAAGTGCTGTGCAGAATCAAGGCCTAAAAGAACTCCCATGAAAAAACACTTTAATATTAATTATGAAGTCAACTGTCATCATCAACTTTAACAGCAATAGTTATTGGTAATGGTAATAATTCCTACTTTATATGACTAGGTGGTTTTAGAGTATGCTTTGGGACCAACTCTTCAATCCATACATGGACAAAACTGCTATTAAAGTCAATGAGAATTTGCTGGATTTTTGAACTGCAGAATTAGCTCCTTACAGGGATAAACTCTCTTCCTCCATCTCAGATGCAAGAGGGTGGTCAATTTCCAAAAACTGTAAGAAAATATGCGCTGTGGAGCTTGGATACAGTATTTCACTGGGAACAAATAGATCCACACCCCCTTCCATCCCCCCCATCTTCCTCCACACCTGTGGAGTACCCTGGGCAATGGACCTGCAGCCCTGAGGCTGAAGTGGCAATCATGGATCATACAGAATTGAGTGGGGGAGGATTCCTTAAATCTAAACCCCAAGGAAATCCTCATCAAACAGCCCAGTTACTTGTACTACGCACTGAGAATAGGATTTAGTCTGTAATGTTAACTGATGAGAATTAAGATAGTGATTTTTTTTTGGAGCGGAGGTGTAATTAGAAATCATGTACTAACTAGCAGAATGGCTTTGTAGTTGCTGCCACTCCATGGAAGTTATTCTGGTCTTTCACTTTTGTACTTCTGTGTTATGGTCTGCTTTATGAAGCTTGCACAATTGAGCTTTTAAGGTATAAATAACCATATGGCATGGAAATATCTCCTGCTGGCAGCATAGGTGTCTGTCTCAGAGGAGACCCATGCTATTACCTTTCCTGGTAAGAGGAGGAATATGATGAAAGTGGATATACAGGGAAAATGGTACACTCAGAATGGAATTAGTTATAGACTCTACTGCATCTGTACTGGCTTGTGTACAATATTCAGAGATGGTAAAGGAACAGCCTAGGCAGGGATTCCTGTTGAATATGGGAATGGGATCACTGCCAAAACAGCAAAAATATTATTTTTGAAGTAACCAAATGCCCACATTAATAAACAGCAAAAGGAGAAGTTACAAAATCTACTGAGAAACAGAATCTTTGTTTTCCCAACAAGAAATATGAAGGATGATAGCTTAACAACATAGGCTTACTAAAATGTGTGTAGTTAAAGTACTGCAAAGACTGATTTCTGTGACATTTAAATCAGTCTTCTGTATATTATTTATTTGCCTGAAGACTTTTGTGATAATTTCTGCAAAAAAGAAAGATACATGCATGTTAATTTGAAATACATGAAACAAATCCTCATTGTGAGACTATTCTTTATAAAGAACTTAAAAGGGCAATGACATGGTCACAACCTCCACCATATGTCAGCTGACTTGGGCTAGTATGTGGCCAGGAATATTCACCACTCTCTTTAAAGAGGTATGTTAGATATTGTTGCTGTGTGTACTCCTTCACAGGAGTGAAAAACAACGTGCCTGTCTTGGGTACATTACCTTTGGGAACTATTGTCTTTGCACAGCTCCTGCTCCCTTTTCCCCAACACATGAGTATGTCTACACTGCAATTAAACACCTGTGGCTGTCCTGTGTCAACTGGCTTGGGCTATGGGGTCCCAGAAGGATGCCCCCTAATGGGGTCCCAGAGTCCAGGCACCAACCCAAGCCTAACATATACACTGTAATTAAACAGCTCTGTAGCCCAAGCTGAAGTCAGCTGACACGGGACAGCCAGGGATATTTAACTTCAGTGTTGACATACCCACAGTGGCTTAATGCCAAAATCTAGCCCTTGCATTTTAAGAAGACTGAATTTCTTTGTACTTATACTGTTTTTACAATAAATTTTAAACATATGTAATGTATCAGTATACCAAATGAAATTTTTGTTTACACATCATATACAACATCCTGTACATAGTGACGTATGTAACGTTCCCAAACCACCTCAATCAGCTTTAAGATCAGTATAGCTACATTGCTATATTTAAAGTTGAGCATTTCCATTAGGCATCTCATTTGGGGAGTTTAATCTCACTCTGTGTATTTATATAGCCCCTGTCCTCACAGTATATGAGCATCTCCCAGCATTATTATTCACGGCCTTGCTTGAGAGTGTACATTTTAGATGTGTTTTAGACCTCTGAGAAATCAAAAAAGTAGAAGTTTGCATTTTGCAAAACTTTGTTTTACTTGCTCGTGATAAAGTTAATGAATGAGGTTCAAGGTTATCATCCCTCCAAATAAAGGGTTATGCAATAAATTACTCTGCCACAAACATTTTAACTGTTCATTGAAACCAATGTACATAAATCCAAATAAGTCATATCCTGTCACTGATGCCACATTTTTTTTTCCTAGTGGCAGTTGTATCATCAAACAGTAGCTAGACCAGAGACTCCAAAACATCAACAGAAACCCTTCACTCCTGAAAATGAGACCCTTAAAGTGTTTACCTGCAATGTATTTGTCCCCTCCTTTTTAAAAATTAATATTAAGAGCAGTAAAATTCATAAATTCACAAGTGTTGAATAAATAAAGCTAATGTGACACAAACTAACAGTTATGAAAATTGAAGAAAAGGTTGATATTTTGCAGAAAATATGCAGTCTTCTCTAGTCAGTTTCCATAAAGAACCCTATGAGTTTACAACATTCAATAAATAGGTGAGAGTTGTACTCCCCTGTGCCCCAATTGCTACATGTCTATTTCAATAAAGGTTGCTCTCTAGGATCAATGTAGCTCCTACTGCAAGATCTGCATTCAAGCGGTTCAGCATTCAAGAGGCTAATATTAATGGTGGCCCTACAACTAAATTCCTGCATCTTTTGCTGAAAATTTCTCAGTCTTAACAGGTAATGTTTTTCTGATTTTCCCTTTTCAGTGAAGAATGGGGCTCTAGGCAGTTTGCAAATGGTGGGCCTAAAATTAATGGAAATTAGGAGCGCTCAATAAAAAGAGCATACCATCTGCAGAAATTCAATTTCTGTTTGAAGAGCTTCACAAACATTCTCCAAGTCATCTTCTTTGTAAATTTCCAGTTCTTTTTTAATCCTGTTTCAATTAAAAAAAAAGTCATATCCAAGGCTAGTCAATTGAATTATTGTTTCATTCAAATTTGGTCCAAGCCTGCAATCTGATCAGCGTGGGCAGACCCTGATATCCTACCTGCACAGATCTGATTGCATGATCAAGAGCTAGATTTGCAGTTATGACAGACCTGTATGTTCAACACCACGTAACTCCTTGAGATTATCCATCACTGGCAGTTGTGGTAGTGACGAGGAGAACTTTAGAAAATGACAATCTCTGGGTTTGAAAAAAGTATATCTAGAATAAGTGCTGTAACAGACAAATGTGAATTATAGGGCTAGAATTCTATTGCTGGGTTGTGGTGATATCATAAACTATGAGAGGATTATAACCTCATAATTCAAAATTTGCCTTTCTTTTAATACATGGATTTGAATCATTGATCCAGGCCCTCCACAGGCTCCCACTACTGTTGCCTCCATAGTTATCGCTGCTGTCTTTCCACTGCTGTTATGTTTGTTCCATGCTGTTGCTGTCCTCTCCTTTGCAATACCAATAGCCTATGTCGGGGGTTCTCAACCTTCTCCACAGCGTGGATCAATTTCAATAGAGTGATTCTCTGATTATACCTCCCCTCCTGTTCACCGTGCTGTGCCCCATTTCTCCTTCCATTCGATGTCACATGACAGCCCTATGGCAACTGCAGCAATTGCTTACCTGGAAAAATAGTAGTATTAAAAGTATCTTTAATTTTTAAAAGTGTTTGTAGCTAAATTGGCATATGCATTAGCAGCTGGAAATAAGGAGGTGCCAGCACTTTGTGACCAGCCACCTCACTGGGTGGACCACCAGAAAGTGCTCTGCAAGCCAACAATGGTTCAGAGTCTGGGAACCTCCGTGTTAAATCTTTCTTAAACTGAAGGGCCCGAGGTCTTCACCTTGAGTTTCCAGGAGGGATGTTATGGAGAATGAAATTGATCACAAGGACAAAACTGTCTAATTGTCACTCAGCACCAAGCTCAAAAAGCAGCCCCTAAAAACACAGAACCTGTGACTGAGTCAACTTCTGGCACGGAAGCAGTTAATACAGCAGCTTCTTGTCAACAAAATTCTGAATTGTGGCAGATCCTGAGACAGAGGAAATGTCCCCTCCAAATGTTACTGGAGACTGGGTAGAGCCATTGAGAGGGATTGACTTACCTAATACTGTCTCCAGAGTGGCCTCAAAGGCCATGACCAGAACAACAGATGCCCTGTTCATCAGATAACTAGAGTCTGTGCAACTCTCACAGAAGCAAAGAGAGCTATTCACAAATGAATAATCCTCTCTAAAGGGGGCGGGTTCCCATGGGGAATATTAAAGCTTAGGAAAGAAGCAGGCAATTAGTGCTGTCAAAGGTACCAGTCCAAATTACTGTGCATCACCCATTATATTTATTTAGCTAGACATTTAATGGACCAAGAGAAAAGCTAACCCCAAACTTTTAGTGGCCTGAAGTATATCAAGCAGTAAAATTATACGGTGAGCCCTGCCATAGGTGCTAACAGGTAGAGAAACAGAAGAGAACTGCAAAGTTAGGTTAAGTCCACTTCCTATAACAGAAGAACAATTTCAAAGGGTCATGCTGGATATTTTGGGCCTGCTATATAGGCAGACAAAAAGGGAAGAGGTATATCCTGGTGCTAGTGAAATATGCCAGCCGTTCCCTTACAGCAGTAGTCCTGCACACTGCTGATGTTGAGAGAGAAACTAACAACCTTTAAGTGTTTCATATATTGGGTGTTAGAGGATACTAGTGAGTTAACCTAGTATGTATATATAGAGAACATTTCTTTAGTCAGCCTAACATGGGCAGAGCATCTCTTCCACATGGGGCAGTGATGCTTCTCATAAAAATGGCTTTGCTAACCATGAAAGAAAAAGTGTAACCTTGATTTGATAGAATTAGCTTATTCGGGACACAGAGTTAGAATGGATGTATTTAATAACAGAGACTGACGTTTGTTTCATTTTTTCCCATTAACATACCAAAAAAGGCAAACGGCAGAAAGGGATAAGTTAGCGCTGTATATGATGTGTGAGGTCTCTCTGTTTAGAGAAGGGTTACAGAAGCTTACAGAAGCATTTCTTTGGAAACAAACTGCATACATACATGTGTTCTGACAAAGAAGGAAGATTTTAAAGAAAGTTTTAAAGATGGTCTACAGTGTGGTCCACCAACTTTTTAGTACTGCAGTTCCCTTACAGATATTTTAAAATGTGGCGGCTCCCCATACTAAATGCCGTTTTTTTGTTTTTGTTTTTTACTGACGCAGGATACTAGAATCAAGATGGACTCTAGAGTTTGGATGGTTTTTGTGACTTTAACTATATCTAGTTTGTTTAATTATATAATCTGATCTAATCTGGGTTTTTAAAACTATAATTTGAAACTATAGGGTTTTCGGGGAGTGGGGGAGGGGGTTGGTGTCTTTGGACAGAGCCTAAAATTTTAGTGAAAAGAATGGGCCTGTTCTGAACTGCATGGTTGAGCAATGTTTGGTTGCATCTCTGATAGTGCCGGATATTACTTGTTTTCCAAGTTTAAATGATTTCTGTGTTTAGTTTTCCTGGAAACAATTGCTGAAAATGCAGACACACAGAAATAACTAAAACTAAATGGAAGCAGTACCTTCATAGCTTCATCACTGAGTTCTTTGTACTCTCCCCTAACAGAAATCCAGAATTCCTGATTTGTCATATTTGAAAATGTGGTGAGATTTTAGCATGTGATCACTTGACAATTGATTTTCTTGAGCTGAGATACCTAAGGTTGGAATTGAGTCAGCTGTTACCAAGAATGTCTTTCAAATGCAATCGATCTGGAGATTCATGTTCAATTTCAGGAAAATATTCATCAAAGTGGGAATACAATCCAGACAAATGAGTGAATATTGGGTCGTTAATTCCATTTTGATTACTTTCACTTTGTTCTTTTTAAAAGTCTGATAATATTGGAAACATCTTGGTAACTCCCTTTTCAATGTGGCATCTTCAAAGACAAACTTTCTTCATTAATCCCCTGATTTTCTCTTTTAAATCTAGTATATTTGCATTCCAACCTTGAAGTGTTAGGTTCAGTGCATTCCATTTGCTAATATGTCCACTGATTAACCCAATGTAGTAAAGAAGTCCACTTACATATGTAATCTGCAAGGTCTGTTTTCCACAAGGAGGAAAATTCTGATTTCATCACACAATTCAAAACCACCTGCCTTTGCTATGAAACAAAACTTGAATGTGGTCAGTGCCCATTTGTTCACATAACATACTAAAAGAGTGTGTAATCACCAAGGATCCTAGTTTTCTGTGATTTAAAAAAAATTCTCCTATAAGAAACATAAAAATCCATGTTTTTCTGCAATTAAAATTAAATGTTGAATTTCAGTTTCCCTAGCCACAATTTATATAGGTATCAGTTGAACACAATGTTATTGATACAGTAGAACCCTGTTTGTCTGAGCCTCCATTATCTGGCTCTCCATATTAACCAAACTCGGGCTAACAGCGGAGCTCCGGGATGGCAGGGCTCCCGCCATCAGCGCCAGGGTGTTTAATATGGAGATCCGGATATTGGAGACTCGGCTAAATGGGGTACTACTGTATATGTTTTTATTTTTTCACAAAATGTAAAAACTGAAGATTCCCTGTAAAAATGCAAATTCCATGTTTTTCCATGGTAGATGGATGTCTAGGATCCCTGGTGATCACTGCCCAGGATTTTATAAAATTAACACTTTTAATAACAATGTTGAGAGTCTTATATACTTCTGGTTGCAAATTCTTCAATGCCAAAGCTTGGTGATGAATCATACAGTTTCCAAATTGATGCTGGTGTCACTTTCTTTAATCGTGCTGCAATGTCCATGTTCTTTCCAGTCATGGCTGCAGCCCCCTCCCCACACAGTCTCCTCCGCACACAGCCCAGTTAAGACCTTCATCCACTATGAATTTAGCAAGGATCTTGAGTATTTTCTCACTCGTTGTTCGAGTTGGGCTTTTTTGTAAAATAAAAATCCAACTATTGTATCTGCTGTGACAAATTTCATATAACGCAGAAGCTGAACTATGTTGGCTACGTCTGTGGATTCATCAAGCTTCGGTATAAAACATTTACGCTTCTTAACTTGTACTTACAACTGGTCTTGGCCGTTTTCTGCAAGATCATCAGTGTGCCAAGGGATAGAATTATTTGACATCGGAATGATTTTCAATGCCATCGCTGTTCGTTCTCCAATCATAATTCTACACATCTATGGCTGCTGGAAGAAAAAGGCTCTTGCCAACAGTGTTTGCATTTTGCAATTCGCTTCTAAGGCTTTTTGAGGAAGCTTCTTTAGGCACAATTCTTTTTTTTTTTTTTTTTTTTAATGCTTTCATTGTTCTTGTTTCCGAAAGAAATTTTTTTGGCTCTTGTGTACAAATTCCAGGTATTTATTTTCTAAATGACAGGTTTCAGAGTAGCAGCCGTGTTAGTCTGTATCCGCAAAAAGAACAGGAGTACTTGTGGCACCTTAGAGACTAACAAATTTATTTGAGCATAAGCTTTCGTGGGCTACAGCATCCGAAGAAGTGGGCTGTAGCCCATGAAAGCTTATGCTCAAATAAATTTGTTAGTCTCTAAGGTGCCACGAGTATTCCTGTTCTATTTTCTAAATGTCTCTGTATTTTCTCTGGCCTCAGATTTTCATTTATTAACACTTGAAAACAAATGACACATTGTGACTGTGGACTCTCCACAGTAATATCAAGACACAAAAATCCAAACATAATGTAACTGTCATCGTATTATCTACTTTTCTTCCTTTTTCAGTTTAAATTTATTAAAGTCATCATCATCTTCAGCCAAACATTTGCTACATGAAGGCTTAACACTTGATAAAAATCATTCCATTATAAAGATAAGATGCACTTAAATTATAGAACCATAGGGTTAGAAAGGACCGCAAAGGTCATCTAGTCTAACCGCCTCCCAGAATGC